ATCAGCCTATATTAAGGCTTGGACAATGATGTCCCGAGAAATTCATTTCTCTGCTAAATGATGGAGAGTAAAAGTCCTTTGATAAGGCAATTGTTCGATTAAAAATACATTGCTGTAGCTGGGACAGCATAAGTCCGATGTTATAAGTTAGATCATATGCTTGTCGATCTATGTCCGAAAGTAAAAGATTGGAGAAACCTGTCTCTATAGTTCTATTGTCTTGCTGTACTGGGACAGCTTGATATAAAGTTCAAAATTCTGCTAAGATCAGCCTTTATTAAGGCTTGGACAATGATGTCCCGAGAAATTCATTTCTCTGCTAAATGATGGAGAGTAAAAGTCCTTTGATAAGGCAATTGTTCGATTAAAAATACATTGCTGTAGCTGGGACAGCATAAGTCCGATGTTATAAGTTAGATCATATGCTTGTCGATCTATGTCCGAAAGTAAAAGATTGGAGAAACCTGTATCTATAGTTCTATTGTCTTGCTGTACTGGGACAGCTTGATATAAAGTTCAAAATTCTGCTAAGATCAGCCTATATTAAGGCTTGGACAATGATGTCCCGAGAAATTCATTTCTCTGCTAAATGATGGAGAGTAAAAGTCCTTTGATAAGGCAATTGTTCGATTAAAAATACATTGCTGTAGCTGGGACAGCATAAGTCCGATGTTATAAGTTAGATCATATGCTTGTCGATCTATGTCCGAAAGTAAAAGATTGGAGAAACCTGTCTCTATAGTTCTATTGTCTTGCTGTACTGGGACAGCTTGATATAAAGTTCAAAATTCTGCTAAGATCAGCCTTTATTAAGGCTTGGACAATGATGTCCTGAGAAATTCATTTCTCTGCTTAAAAGAAACAGTTCAATATTCTGCAAATTGATGGAGAATAAAAGTCCTTTGATAAGGCGATTGTCCGTTTGAAGAGGTATTGCTGTAGCTGGGACAGCATAGTCCTATGTTGCCTAACAAAAGCTAAGATCATATGCTTGTCGATCTATGTCCGTAAGTAAAAGATTGGAGAAACCAGTCTCTATAGTTCTATTGTCTTGCTGTACTGGGACAGCTTGATATAAAGTTCAAAATTCGGCTAAGATCAGTCTTTATTAATAAGGCTTGGACAATGATGTTCCGAGAATTTCAATTCTCTACTTAAACGATATAATTCAATATTCTGCAAAATGGAGAATAAAAGTCCTTGAATAAGGCAAATAGGCAATTAAAGATATATTGATGTAGCTGGGACATCATTCCGATTTGGCCTAACAAAAGCTAAGATCATATGCTTGTCGATCTATGTCTATAAGTAAAGGATTGTCTTGTTGTACTGGGACAGCTTGACATAAACTTCAAAATTCTGCAGCCTTTATTAAGGCTTGAACAATGATGTTCCGAGAATTTCAATTCTCTACTTAAAACGATACAATTCAATATTCTGCAAACTGATGGAGAATAAAAGTGCTTGAATAAGGCAATTGTCCGATTAAAGATGTATTGCTGCAGTTGGGACAGCATAGTCCGATGTTGCTTGTCAGAAGCTAAGGTCATATGCTTGTCGATCTATGTCCGTAAGTAAACGATTGGAGAAATCCATCTCTCTTTAGTTCTATTGTCTTGCTGTGCTGGGACAGCTTTATGAACTTCAAAATTCTGCAGCCTTTATTAAGGCTTGAACAATGATGTTCCGAGAATTTCAGTTCTCTACTTAAACGATACAATTCAATGCTCTGCAAACTGATGGAGAATAAAAGTCCTGAATTATCCGATTAAAGATATATTGATGTAGCTGGGACATCATTCCGATTTGGCCTAACAGAAGCTAAGATCATATGCTTGTCAATCTATGTCTGTAAGTAAAGGATTGTCTTGCTGTACTGGGACAGCTTGACATAAACTTCAAAATTCTGCAGCCTTTATTAAGGCTTGAACAATGATGTTCTGAGATATTCAATTCTCTGCTTAAAAGATACAGTTCAGTATTCTGCAAATTGATGGAGAATAAAAGTCCTTTAAAAAGGCAATTGTCCGATTAAATATATATTGCTGTAGCTGGGACAGCATAGTCCAATGTTGCCTGACTAAAGCTAGATCATATGCTTGTCGATTTATGTCCGTAAGTAAAGGATTGGAGAAATCAATCTCTATAGTTCGATTGTCAATTAAAAAGTTTGCTGTGGCTGGGGCAGCATAATAACATTCAATGTTCTGCTCGTAAGGATTGTCTAAAGACATCCCAAGAATGTGAAATTCAAACTTCTTTTGAACCTCTATTAAATACGGATGATACTTTATGAATTAAGTATTTAATTCTCTGAACCTGACGTCTGGGAGAGGAGGTATGTATTTCTTCTTTAACTAGATTCTTCTTATGTTTTGTAAGTTCTTTTTATGTTTATGTACAACTCTTACAAATCTTAGGTTATTGATGAATAAATCAGTTTCTCCTTGCCTTAATGTGTTCTAAGTTCTAACCACATCTTTACTGATTCATTCTTAACAGGGAAATAGAGGTTTTGCAGAAGATTCAACGTGTAGACTGTATCTTTCCCTTTTTTTATCAGTTGAGTGTCTCTTCCTTCATTTAAAACAAGGTATGATGATCTTAATAATTTCTTGATGGAGTTTGTAGCTCCTTGATTGATTACATCTTTTGATCACGCAGTCTTTTATAAATATTTATCCATCTTTTTAGCTTCAGAAGACCAAGAACTCCAGTGTGTGTACATGATTTTTCTCAGGTTCGACCTCTCTCCCTCAGTTTGAAATATTATACTGTTATTAGTTGTATCTGGATTGTTGTAGTAGTAAGGGTTGTGTGGGAGACTCTAGCATTTTGGTAACTTCTGGTGCACAACAGGATTAGCTGAACGAGCAGGTATATATTCGAATCCTATAACTGCTTGTTTATATTTTTGAGTCCTATATCTGCTTGTTTATTGGAGAGAATTTCAACTTATAAAAGAATTTTTCTCTTCAGTCCCTGTTGCAGCAACTTTTGTCTCCAAACAAGAAAGCTTTGGTTTCTCAGGTACGTCCTCTGTATATATATTGCTTTCGATATTCAATAGTATTAATTAGTTAGTGGTTGCATTTGGCTTTGTGTGTAGTAGCACGAGTTCGTCTGAGGTTTGAGTTCAAATACTATGGCGGTAGTCATGAATTATTTCTCATGATTGTTCAAGATCATATAGTTTCTTTTTGGCCTAACATCAATGAGTTTGTGACGAATTCTCTTTAGTTTTTATATTGAACTTGTAAAACTTAAAATAAACCACGGTTAGAGGCACTTACTGCTTACAATCCCTTGAATCTTTCTTCACATGCTTTGGCCTAACAAAATTTGCATTTACCATTTGCAGTAACCAAATTTGAAATTTTGTATGTCTTTCTTCACATATATCTGTCGCCTAACAAATTTATTACTTTATTTGCAGAAAAGAGAGAGAAAGTGTTATGTATGTGGGTAAGATGCTAGAGTTTGGTGGATAAATTGGAAATCTGACCCCTTTTCAAGCATGTAAGTATTTGAATATTGAATTTTATTTATGTCAGAGACTCTTAATCATATATCTGATATGGTTTTCAGTTTTAGTATTTGTTGATTTGCATTTGTTTAACTTTGTGGTAGGTAGCATGAGTTCGTTCTAAGGTTTGACACTTTGTAAGTTGTCATTTTATTCATCTTAAGGTCTTCTTGATGTTAAAGTATTTCTTTCATCCCCACATAGCGACTGATCAATCCCTTACTTTGTATGCCACTTTTGTAATGTGTAGCTTTTAAGTACCCTCAAGCTCTGAAAACAAGACAACTTAAGTTACAGAGAGGAGCAAAAAAAAACAGAGCAAGTAACCATTCTTCTTTCAGGTATGTCTGCAGACTCTTTCTTTTTAGTCTTCAGTTTTGCTCTTATAGTTTGAATTTATGTCTCTTTTTTTTTTTGTGCAGCAGCAGATTTATAGTCAATGTGGCTGTATCTCACAAACCAAAAGATTTTACATAGGTATGCAGGACCGAGAATACGCTATCGACGGAAAAGAAGTGATTATTGTTAAAGTATTTGAATATGTTATATAATATTTTTCAAATACTTTAACAATGTTCTCCTTGGATTCCTGCGATAGCCTGATCTCAGCCGACATCTTTAATATTCATGTATATATGCTTCTTTGATTCCTTTGCTTACATGCTCAACGTGTTTGCTCTTGTTTCCTTGTCTGCTTTTATTGCTTACTTCATTGTTTGCTTCCTTATTTGTTTCTTTGATTCCTCTGCTTAGTGTAGTACTTGTTTCCTTCTCTGCTTTTATTGCTTACTTCATTGTTTGCTTCCTTTGCTTAGTGTAATACTGTTTCTTTGCTTGTTTGATTCCTCTGCTTAGTGTATTACGTGTTTCTTTGCTTGTTTGATTACTCTGCTTAGTGCATTACTTGTTTCTTTGTTTCTTTGATTCCTCTGCTTAGTGCATTTAATTGATTCTTTTCTTTTATTTTTTGCTTCTTAGTTTTCTCGATTGCTTCCTTACATGCTTAACGTTGTTTATTTGATTCTTTAATTCATTTTCTTAATGCATTGCTTGTTTTTTTCTTTCCTTAATGTATTTGTTTGCTTCCTTGATTCCTCTGCGTTCTTCTTTCTTTGCTTGTTTTCTGTTTTGTTGTTGTCTAGGTGGATTGTTTGCTTTCGGAAACCAAACCTCAATTAAGCTACCACATCTTTGGCGCTAAACATAAACGCATTACACGAACACAAACACTACACATACACATAAACGCATTACGCAAACACATATACTAAACGTAAACATGCACACAAACGTAACTTTTGTGCTCACACTGATACAAACATCTAAAATACTAATACTTGAACAAAACTAAACACATTACACAAACAAACATCTAAAATGCTCACACTGGTACCGAAATCTTTCAAGTTGGAGGATCATGTGTGACTACTCTTGTTTCAGTCTTTCCTACTCGATCCAACTACTCTATTTTGGATTTTCAAATCGAAACTCAGCAATTCTTGAAAATGAACATTTATATTACGAAATTATTGAACAGATATTTTAATTCCATGTCAAATTTAGAAAATTGAGAAACAGAGTGTATTTCTGCCAGAAGTTGGAAATTTGGCTCGTTAAAGACCTAGGAAGCACGGAAGCTCCGTCCGTAGTCCGATTCCCGCTTCGGAAGCTAAAACGGAATCGGAAGCTTCAGGAAGCGCCCGGAAGCGTGGTGGAAGCGCGATTCCGAAAAAAAGGAAATCGGAAGCGTTTTGGAAGCTATGATTCCGTTTAGGAAGCGTTCTATTTTTATGCGATTCTGATTTTGGAATCGTTATTAAGGAAATATTTAGGAAGCGTGATATATTTTTTGTATTTCTTAATTAAATATGAAATTAGAAAACCCTAATTACTCTTTACTAAACAAGAGAATACCAATCGTGGCTAAATTTCGTCTTTGGCAAAACTCTTGTTGGGATTGACCCATTTGATTGGCCCTGCAAAAGAGAAAGCTAGGTTAGTGATGATGAAGAACAAGGAAGTTCTGAAGTAGAACAAGAAGAAGAAGTTGTCATGGTTGAAGAAGAAGAGAGGTCAACTAAAGAAGAAGAAGGAGTCAACGTAAAAAGAAGATGTGTTTTGAGTTAAGAGATGGAGTGGGCCTAAGTGGTTAAGGTGTGGCCCAACAGAAGAAAGGTGTTGTCTAATGGGTCTAACTAAAGCCCATTCGTAGAAGTAATTATAATGTCCAAGTATAACTAAGCGTTAAGTGAGTTGTTGAGAGTGTTTGCTAATGGTGATGAAAATGAAAAGGAAGACGATGGTCCAAATCTTTGACTTATGCGTTATGTTTTTTTTTTAATCTCTAATCAACTTAATTAAGTATTGGATCTCTTTTATTTAAGACAAGAGTTATTTAATCACATTTGAGTTATTTAATCACATTTGATTATATATATATATATATATATATATATATATATATATATATATATTACACGCTTCCAAAACGTACCCATATCATAAATTTTTGAAAAAATCGCTTCCACGTTTCCAAACGCTTCGCTTCCCCGCACCCGCTTCTGATTCCATGCAACTTAGTTAAAGACACATAACAAAATTAAGTACATATTTTACTCCCATAAAAAAGGTAATGAAAAACTATTACCAATTATTGAAATTTTTTGTCAATGATTATAATCGTTTTCAAAGTATTTCATTATCTATTGGGTAGAAGTTATAACAACCGACCAAGAACAACCAACTATTAATTACGTGAGCGTACATGTATATTGATATCATTCAAAGATCTTTCGTTTGGTATTTAGGATTAAGGGATTAATTATACATTGTTTTTGAACTTCTTGCAGAAACAAAACGATAATACTATAATAGTTAATATACTCATTCGAACAGGGCCCAAAATGGTGGTATTGGTCGATTTGAATCACTTAAACAACAATTCACAATTATAAATGACTTGTTATATGTTTGCATGTTGTACGTATTAGAATATGGTATCAGAGCCCGATCCACATATGTCCAACCCGATCCGACCCAAAGATGGTCCAATCATCGACAAAACCCAAAATTGATGTCGTCGATCTAAGTCCGAACATTCCGAGATTAATGGCCAAAGAGTCATCATCTCGAGGGAGCGTATTAGGACATAATGTCCCACACCGGAAGTTGAAAGGGATTTTAACTAATATATAAGGGATATGGGTCACTCCACTCATTGCCAATTGGTTTTGAGTTGGAAGCCCATATTCTAATAGTACATTGTCGTTAATTTTTGGATGTGTCAAATAATGAAAGTATATATACTAGTAGACGATATTAGCAAAGACAGAATTTGAAAATTCATATCAAAACGATATCTTATGATCAAGAAGAAAACTAGATCTTGATTCACCAAGAAGTGACAATCTCATACCCGATCAAAACAAGGAGAAAAAAAAAGAGAAGTAATGTTGCGTCAACTTGCAAGAAACAGTAGAGCAAACAATATAGGTATAGTATTCAATTTAATATACAGACAAAACAAAAACCTATTCAACGAATAAAAAACTTTGAGAAATTATAAGTGGGCCAAAGAAATCTTAAGGAATAGAGATGCGATTTTTTGTCCAAACAAAGCAAATCTAATGACTTATTACTTCGGGGTTGGACCCACAAGAAGATTTGATATATGTCTCACATTCTCTTCTTGTCTATATAAACACAATCGCACACTGTTCTCTAAAGTCTTCTTCTCTTCTTGTTTTACTCTTCAAGTCTCAAAAACTCTCTTTTCTAAATGAGACAAAAGGCTCACAGACACGGAAGAACAGTATCGCCTTGTGCCGGCTGTAAGCTTCTCCGGCGAAAATGTGTGAAAGATTGCGTCTTTGCTCCGTATTTTCCGGCCAAAGAGCCTTACAAGTTTGCCATTGTCCACAAGATTTTTGGTGCTAGTAATGTCAATAAGATGTTGCAGGTGAAAGTTCTCCCTTTGTTTAGATTTGGGATTTTAGCCACTTTTATTAAAAATGTTGTTGTATATATATATTATTCCCTTTTGGTCACGATATCTTTTTTCTTGTATATATTGCTGCATCCAAGTTTATAAACATTATGGTTTCTTTATTTTGTTTTTTTTTTCTTGTGGTCGTTCATGTTGTTAAACTCTTCAATTTGTTTGTCTTTTTGATTCTTGAAATTAACGTTTATATTAATTAGGGCTTTTGGATCTTGTCAATGTGATATTTGCTTTTTCTTAGATTTTTTGTTGTTTTTGGAAAGTATCGAAACCGCGTGTAAGAATAGTGAAGGAAGTCACTTTCTAGTTTTCTATCAAAAGTCTATATCGCATGTCACATTAAAAGGCAGAAATCATGACATTATTTCTTTTTATTTGTTATCTTATGAAAAATTATGACGCGGTGAATAATTAATCCATGTCTAAACGCGACGTCTTACTATTTTCTACTATTGAATATTACTATAAGATCATTGACAAAATCATTACAAACAAACAAACCATCATTTTATAAGCATGCATTTATTTATTACATAAACATCATGTAATAGTACATCATATAATCCATCACTAAAAGTTCCAAAATAACATCATCAATGATTTTTTTCAAGAGAATTAAACGCTAAAATAACATATTCCACTGTATACATAATTGCATGGTTTTCGTAAAAATTATAGAAATGCAACATCATTTCGTTATTTAGCGGATTAAAACCATTCATCTACTTTTCTTGCAATAATAACTATTTACATGTCTTTAAATAATAGAAATAAATATTATTAATATCCAAACCAAGTATACTAATTTAACGATCGTAGGAGCTGTCGGAGAACCACCGGAGCGACGCTGTTAATTCGATGGTGTACGAGGCCAACGCGAGGGTGCAAGATCCTGTATACGGATGTGTAGGGACAATTTCTTCGTTACACAGACAACTCGAGACTCTCCAAACTCAGCTTGCTTTCGCTCAGGCCGAGCTGATTCATATCAGGACGCTCCACCGTATCGACACAGAGCCGGCGCAAGATAAACTGGGGCCACAAGCCCAATATAATGTTTGGGCCGAACTATATTGTAAACAAAGGAAAAGAAATTAAAACAGGTAAAATGTGTTACAGTAAAGGTTCGAACTTGAGACCTTAGTAATATTTTCACATCTTTAAACCACTAGACTAAAGAGACTTTTATGTAAATGAGGCCGATTAAGAACTATATATTTTTGGGGCCACAAGCACATGCCTCACCAGCTTGTGTCTAGGGCCGGCTCTGTATCGACACCAAACCCCCACCGTACGCGGCGAGTACTGTTACTTTCCCGTCGAACAAAGACTTCTACAGTGACGTCGACATGGCTTTTGTGTATGAGGATGGTGCCAGAGACTCCCTTTGGTCATGCTAGCTTTAATTAGCACTATATCCTATCTTTGCGATGTTAAAAATAAATAAATGATAAGATATGTATATAATATGAACAAATTAAGTATACAATTAAATTAAAGTAGTTCTCTAGAATAGCAAGTAGCAACTAAAAGAATTAAGATTGTAAACTTTATTTCTGTCTGCCTTCTTTTGGTTTTTTTTTGGTTCTTAAAATAATTTTATGGAAGAAAAAAGAATAGAGAGGCATATTGATGTAAAAAATACATATAATGAGTTGATGCTATTCAAACAATAAAGTGAAAAGTATGTGTAGTAATAAAACAATAATGTCACATTGATATGATGTAAGGATAGATATACAACTTTTTGATATATTTTTGTATGAAATAATTTCTTAAATCTAGTATAGAGATAGTATATGTTACATATTGATATGTAGGTGTATTATACATACTTAAATTTATATAAAGATTCATTCAAAGCCAATTTCTAACAAAATGCATTAGGACCAAAGCGAGATATATTACAAGGGAGAAACACAACACTTCGCAAAACGAGATATTTCTTCTTCATTTTTTGTGTGAAACAAAAAACACTTAGCATGTTACTAAATCCCGTCGAGAATACACATACTTGATACTACAATGGTTAAGATCCTATCACGTTGGCCAGAATTCAAGATAACGGCTTATGAAAAAGTTCAACGCATGTTTCTGTTAAGGAGACCTTGGAAAGATAAATAGAGATCTTTGTTATCTCCCCCAAATATCTCATCTGCTTTCCTCAGAGTTTCCTGTCAAAAGCATCAACGTTTTTGAATCTGTAATCTGGACATACCGAAAGAAAAACTGGCACATGAACTACTACAAAATTTTACCTCTCGGGTTTGCTTCTGGGCGTTGAGCTCCTTGATGTTAGCTAAGAAGGAACTGAATTGTTCATAGGATAATCGGCTCCTGTGAATGATGGATGAAACAAAAAAAAAGATCAACAATTTGAGAGTCTGGTTAATCATAAAACTGACACTAGCTACTAGCTAGGCACAAGAGCTGAAGAGAAAAAGCCTCACCTGGCTTGCCGGAAAAATTCTTTACCATCCATCCGAGGTGTACGAGCTGGAAAAGAATTTTATATAGAGTATCTATGAGAGAATATACTTGAGTTTCACCAATTTTATACAAGTAACAATCGTTAAGATCCTATGAACCTGGGAGTGTGCGGTTGCGAGGAGGGGAATTAGCAGCCGATGATTGCTGACTTAACGGGTACCAGAGTGTTGCCTTTGTGGGAGAAACTGCACCTGATGTTCTTTTAGGAGAACCTGCTGCAGAATATCCTCGAGGAGATACACTTGTGGAGATGATCTTTGGTGTTGCGGTTGGGGTAAGACGTGGAGAGATGTATGGTGTCATGGAAAATTTGTTTCCAGTGTATTTTGAAGCTACAAAATAAAAACTCTTATTTATTCCCAAGTTGCAGCATAGAGATAGAATAGAAGTATAACACTGGATGGTTGATTCAATGTAACCTTCAACAATTGGATTGTTCAGGTCTGTAGATCCACTGTAAGCATGTTTTATTGAGTGTGCATTGGTCCTTTCATCTGCATGGTTGAAAGACAAATAGCTTACAGATAGACCAAAACAAGACATATCGTTTAATTGGGAATTGGATATTGATGCAGTACCTTTGGGAACTGACTGGTCGCAAGTCCTAATATCAACAGGTTCTGTTTGCTGTAAATAACAAATGGAGAAGAAGCACAGTTACATTCCCTAAAATCAGAGGTCAGAAGCGTGCAAGATAGAGAGCAATAGCAGGAAAAAAACAATAGGCTCTCGCTGGAGTGCATATAACATATAAAACAACAAAAGAATGTGCATAAACTACAAAAGCTTGAATCTCTTACCGGACCACTCTCATCGCTCAGGGATTTGATTAACTGCCGCTTGAACGTCTCCAACTAAAAATAAAAACATTAGCTGTTTTCTCCACTCAAAAATATATGATGTGAAACTCCTTTACAATACAAGCATAAAGCATCAGAAAACCAACAAAATTCTCACCTTAGCCAAATCACGGGTGAGTTTCGTTACAGTCTTTGCCAGTGAATCCTTCTCCTTGGTCAGGTTCATCTTTACCAGAAAAGGAAGACAGTTCATTAAAAAGAAAAAGAAAAGTCATGGATATAAAAGCAGAGGAAACCAAAAAAGTGTGACACCAGATGATTCGACTCTTGAGCAGATATTGAAGAGCATATCTACCATCTTAGGAATTCAAGCTGAATCCTTGAGCATCATACAGCTATCTAAACATATACCAAACACACAAAATTGTTCCCAAAATTTGAAATCCCCGTAAGTAACCTGTAACAACACCAAGAAGGTCCTGAATCTATACATACCAGTCAAGCCCGAGACTCTCTCTCCATTGTTAAGCAACTATCTCAGCAAACAAAACTAGCCAAATCTCGGAAGCTAAAATGCAAAAGTAACGGAGCCATAAAAGCAACAGAATTGGATAACGAAATGAAGCTCTTTTACTTACATTATCCTCGAGGACGACCTTCAATCTCGAATCAGCCTCGCGGCAGTCTCTCTCCAGGCGAGACGATTTCTCCTCAAGCTCACGGACAACACTTTCCTTCTCCAGAAGCTTCTGTCTCAATTCCACCACCTCAGAGTCCAGATTCGACACTCTTGAAGCTATCGCCATCGATGTAATCTTCCTTGCGAGATCCAGCTGCTCAAAAGGGTCCATCGGAATCACCGACAAAACCTCTTCGGGGAGCTCGAAATCTAGCTGGTCGTCTCCCATTTCTCCACCACAAGAATGCCCCTAAAATCTCCTTCGACGCCGGAGAATTTCACCGGAGATAACGTTCTATCTTCTATGGTGAGAAATTGAGCCCCAAATTTTGGAGATGACAAGCCCGAGAAGATTAGGGTTTTTAGCTCTGGAATTGTCCGATTGCCTGTAAGTTGTTGGAGAAGGGAAATCAAAAAGACAAAAGCCTTTACACTTGTCAATTTCTCATTGGCTACATATCTTTTTCCTGTCTCTATTTTGAATTTTTCTTGTTTGAATTTTAAGAATACACTTGTGATTACTTTTCCCTCCAAACCAGAGAAAAAAAAAAAAACACTACTTTTTATAATTTCTCAAAATTGTACATTTCATAAATAAAAACCAAGAAATAAATTTTAAAATGTTAGTGCCATTTTGGTCCTACATTCCAAAATGACAAATAATGACCTGAATTCGCATTTATTAATATGTCGTATTAAAATATTCCAAATTGGCTTGTTGGGTATTAAGTATAATATAGTAGTATAAGAAAATAATTTTTTCTAAAATTTAGAAATGCAATAATAAAGGTTTCAGTATTTTCTGGTTACGAGTTGAGATGTCTACATCTAAACAGTTTCGTTGAACAGAATCACCAGACACGTATTGAAATGCATATCAATTCGTATCTACGTATATTCAATTTCCTTTATTGTATAAACACATAACCGGTTTTTTCCGGTTTGCATTAATTATTCAGACGATTAAACCATCAATCAATCGGCTCTTAATCTCCTCCACTTAGGTTGTATCGCCTCGTATACCATCCAAACCGGACTATACTACCAAATCAATGAGAGACAACTATCAGCTTTGAGCATTTATTACATTGTTCGGACCACAGTGGTGTCGTCGAGTATGACTGATTGTCTGTGTGCGATTACACACACGTATACTATTATATATACACACATCTCGATGCGAAGAGAAAAACATCATCTTCTTGGATTTCTTTTGTTACTCGAAGAAAAAAAAAAAAAAAAGATGTATTGTCTTCAAGTTGCAGCATATCACTTGTTCTTCAACGCATCTCGAATATGTTATCTTCTTGCTCTGATTATATTTGTCTTTCTTAGATTCTTCGCTATTTTCCAGAATACTGAAGTGAATCAAGTCGTCGAGCCCAGAACGACGACGCTTTTGAGGTTTACTGATACAAAGGGAGATGTGAATGTAACTTTCTCTGGTGTTTTCTTAGAATCTGTAATCAAAGATATCACTGATAATCTTTTGTAGTTTATTTTGTATTATTTAATTATGTACTTATCGTTATATCTATAATTACCATGCTAAAAAAATTCCAGGCTCATCGCTTTTATACCTTTCTTTAATTACTTGATTATTTGATCTTTTAGAACTAAAATTTGAATACTAGGTTTAGACCGTAGCTTATAGAATAATGATTTGTGTTAGTTTGGTAGTCTGTCTGATATTGCTGGTTCGGAATCAAGTAACATGTAGGTTCGATCGTAGGAGGACCGAGGACGAAGAATAGGTTTTATTAGGTTTGATATCGTGAGTCGTGACTGTTCATATTACTTAGTTTATCAGGACTCTTACTAATTACTAAGACTGTGTTAGCAAGCTCGATCCTAGATAGACCGGTTTAAAAAAAAATACGGTAATTTTTTCTTTTCATAGTCCCCAAAAAATAGCCGCAAATTAATCACCAACTCATTTTCTTCTTGGCAACATTTATATTTTTAGTTTATTTATATATTTTAAATTCACATTTATTTAATTAGTGTATATGTATATAGTAGTTATTAACGTATTCATGAGTACAAAATGAATCCAGAAACTAGAGTCCGATTCAAAATATGATGGGCCTTCATTTTTGCCAAGGCCCAAAATAAATCGCAATTATTTGAGGCCGAACCGACAGGCCTCATGTGTTAGCTTTAAGGTTTTCTTCCGTCGGGTTTCAGTTTTTTTTTTTTTTTTTTTTTTTTTTTTGCTTTCGTGACGTCGGGTTTAAGATATTAACGACAAATAAATAATGAAAAAAAAAAATTAATAAGAAGGCTCCGTACTGGGGTAAGAGAAAAGAAGGACAGGCAGAGAGTTGGTGGGTCACACTCTGTATGAATAAATGACCGTACAACCAAACCCACCTGCCACTCTTTAATAGTACCTTTAAACACACGTCATTTTAAACTATTCTATTATTTTGATTTTCATTTTTAATAAATTTTTCTTTTCCATTAATTTTCTTCTCACTGAATTTGAACCCATCCATTTTCTACAAAATATCGCTTAATTTTTGTGTATTTATGGAAATGGTTAATGAAAAGTCGTACTGAAGAACATATACTTAATGGAATTATTAATATGTCGTTTCAGTTTGTTTTTTTCTGTAAACATGCCGTTTAGTTTATGAAATATCCACAAACGCATGGGGACAAGTGTGTCGTGAACAACTTGTTTAGTGACTCCCAAATTGGTCGATGTTTTGTTTCTGCCTCGATGTCTTTTTTATCCTTGTATCTATTTGAATTTTTTCTTCTAAGAAGAAATTACATTGTACGTTTGGAACATGCGAATAACGTTTAGGAGACAAGAAGTGCTCAAAACATTTATACTATCCAAAATGTATTTGTAATGTTGAGGAACTTATAAATTTTGTCGGCCAGATAAACTATAAAAATTAATAACATAAAACAAAATAAAATACGTTTAACAAATAACCAAGAAAAGTTATCATGAAAAAACTTCATTATAATGAAATAATCGACAAAAACGAAGGTCCCGCTTTCTCGATTGATATTTCATTTTTGTAAATTCTATTTGACTTCTTGGTCTTTGTGCAATCTAAAAGAATGTTGAACTTAAATTTAGCCGCAGATATTTCATCCAACCATTTGTAGTATATTGACCAAATTACTACAAAATCAGACAAAAAGACTCCAAATTTCTAGTAGAATAAATAAAATTGTTTGAATAATTTATCAAGTCTACTGAACCACCAACCACATATATAAGGGTTTCAAAAATTTCCTGTTTCTTTCATCTTTGACCACAATGATGTAAGAACAACTTGTTTAATCATACTCAAATTTGATTTTAATCAAAATCACGGACTATTTCAATTGATTGGTTTAAACTCCACTAGCTCAAATATAATAATTTATATTTTTGTAGCCAATATAATAATAAAAATATTTTCAAAACAGGTTTTTTTTGTGATAAAGTTTAGAGACATAGATACTAATAAAGTTTATTTGTAGTATAAAAAAAAACATTAATTACTAAAAAAAAAGTAAATTTTCTCGGGCTGTTGTACCCGGCAAGTACTGCATATGTACTCTCTCCTCAATGCTCTCGTCATAGTCTTTCCATGTCTTCTCTCTATATATAGTATATTACTTAACTCTTTCTCACTCTCTCTCTCTAATTTTGAAATATATCTCTCATTAGTTTAAACCGCCGGAGACAAAAAAAAAAATGAAGCATCTCATCCGTCGCCTCTCTAAAGTCGCCGACTCATCCTCCGAATTCTCCATCCGCCGTTCCACCTCATCCTTCCGCAACCGTCGCGGTCATCACCGTCTCCACGCGCCGCCGCCTCAGTGGTCAATTTATCCGGCGAGAAGAGTCAACACCGTCCCCGCCGGTCACGTACCTGTCTACGTTGGCGAAGAGATGGAGAGGTTCGTGGTTAGCGCGGAGCTTATGAACCATCCGATTTTCGTCGGTTTGCTTAACCGATCCGCTCAAGAATACGGTTACGCTCAGAAAGGAGTTCTTCATATCCCCTGCCACGTCCTCGTGTTCGAGCGCGTGGTGGAAACGCTCCGGCTGGGAGCATTCGAAGAGTCCGGTGAGGTACAGGATTTCGTGGCTTCGTTGCTCTCCGGTGATGAATTGATACCTGAAACTACAGAGTAGCTTTTCAAGAATAATAATCCAAATCGGCGATTTGATATTTTCTCCTTTTTTTTTTTTTTTTCGTTTTTTATTTTACGATTTTGTAAATACACACCAGTTTTTTTTTTTTTTACTTCTTCTATATTTGGTTACTTTAATCTCTGTTTTAGCCGATCAAGAAACATAATTTTCGTATAGTAATCAAATCAAATCGAATATGAAACTGCAGAAATTGAAACGCTGTTTTTGGCCGCCAATAAAAAAAGTAGAAAACAAAAGAAACGTGCGTCCCACACGTTTCATGTACCGTTTGGTTTAAGAATCAGATTAGCTCAATTTCGAAACTGCACGTTTTGGTTATATAAGATTATAAGTCATAATTGTACAAACATTTACCAAGAAACGTACGAGTTGGGACAATTTGGTCTAGTGATTAAGCTTGCAAGTTTTTAACAATAATTGGAAATCTGTTTGTCCTAAACTAATGAGACGTCACCACGAAAGGAAAACTAATTGTTTATAGCTACGGGTGTCAAAATGGGTAACCTGATCCGATCCGACCCAAACCCATATGGGTTCGAGTGTTTAATGGACGGGTTTGACCCGACCCATATATTTATATGGGTTGAATTTACATACCCAAACCCATTATTATAGAAATCCATTGGCTTAATGGGTTATATGGGTATCCATATATTTGTATAATAAAATATATAAATAATAAAAATCCAAAAAAATAACATAAAATTGTAAACCAACAAAAGTTTTTGAATAATAAATTAAAAAATCTAGTTATTTTACTTTTTACTTTTATTTTACATATGTTTTACATATATTTTACATTTTACTTTTAATAATAAATAAATTAAAATAATATTATACATATATTTTACTTTTTACTTTTATTTTTAGGTAAAATGTAAACTTTAATAGTTATTTTAGATATTTTACATATATAGTTGTAAAGAAAAGAAGATATTTTACATATATTTATATAAATTTTACATAATATATCAATATAGATATATATAAATTTTACTTTTTAGTTTTGGTTATGAAACCCATGGGTAACCCATGACCCTAATGGGTTTTACCCATTAAATCCATAACCCTAATAGGGTAACCCACTAAAACCCATTTATATATATGGATAAAAAAATTCTACCTAAACCCACTAAAATCATGGGCGGGTTCGGGTAACCCATGGATATTAACCCATTTTGACACCCCTATTTATAGCTAATTTATCTCTTAACTTTGTATGCTTTATACAGTACTATATCTATGAGTTGATTTGTTTCATTAGTTTTTTTTTTTTTTTATGATCAAAGTTTCATTAGTTTAGTTCTAATAAAGCTATACTACAATTCCACCCAAAAATGAAGATAATATTCCAAGAAGCGAAGGGCCATCAAGGTCTTTAAGAGGACGAAATGGTAATTTCTGGACAAGCACCGAATTAGTATCGTCATTTTCAACGAAAGAGTATGGATTTGGGTGCACAATTGCACCGTACGGATCCATCAGATAAAGTACTGAGAGTTGTAACAAAACGTCCAAAGATCACTTGAAAATTTAAACAATTAGATACGGAAAGATCCATAAAGAAATTTTTGATTTTTTTATTTTTTTATATAGTTGCACAGGTCGACATGCACCTTGTTTGTGGCGCACACTTTTTGTTGTTTACGTAATTGTTTATTTTTTAATCAAAGTTGCGAATTTATCATGAACTCGTTTAACTTCTTGTTAACATATGTTTATTAGTTACATCTAATTAATAACAGGGATATATCACGTATTTATATATTTCGGTCTTAGGTCAAACTATACATGAATAGGTTTGAGTTTCCTTTGCCCGTTCTGTATAACCTAACCTTCAGGATCTTTGACACCGAAATTTCTAAATTAATAATGTAGATGTCACTACATTTGAGTGGATAATCCACTAGCACTAGGACAAATTCTATTTGTATATCTTAATGAATCTTTGTCAACAAAATTTAAAGGAATTTGTCTTACCTATTCCATATTACATTGGCAATTTTGGTAAAAAAGAGAAAATTATTATGCAGGTTATCCATTCGAGGACATCCGGAAATTTTTTTTATAACAACAAATAGTTTTTGTAAGAGAACTAAAATAGAAATATGATCTACATAAATGTTTTTGGTGTTTTATGTAATTATTGAAGTTAAAAAAACGTTTAGTATCTGCATTCATAAATATAATTAGATGGAAAATATAGAAGCACCCTCCGTTGAAAGGCTTCTAGTGTCTTGTATCTTGGTAATTCGATCGGCTCTACAATTTGCGTTCGCCTTTTGTCTCAAGCATCAGAGCAGGAAAGAACAAGAAAATCGTCATTACTTTGTCATACTCCATAAGCATTTTCGCTTATGTTTGAGTGGATGGACTGAAAATGTTCTATAAATTATGCTTTCATGTTTTTGCTTTTTTTTTTTCTCGTCTAAATTTATTATTAATTGCAAATTATGAGAACTGTTACATAGACGATTCTACAACTGACAATTATGTTTCATGTTTTTGTTTTTTTTGTCATGGAACTATTTATAAAAGTATATATAAATAATAAAATATAGAATAAAATATATAAAGTATATATAAATATATATATATATATATATATATTTAAAGTATGTTTTTGTTTTTTTGTTTTAATTGTAAACTTAAATAGTTTTTATTTTTAATAAAATATTTACATTCTTAGCAAAAAAAAAAATAATAATATAGAAGCATTTTTTCTTCAAAGTTGTAATAGTGAAACAAAAGTTAGTCTTAAAACCAGACCAATAATACCCGGTGTAAGAAGCTACAATTATTTAAGGAGATGATATTTTTACGGTGTTGGACTGCTTGCCGGAATATTGAGATCTACAAATTTAAAATATATCCAGAAATCAGTAGGATTAGTGATGTCATGATGTGGCAGTCAAGTATTGGCTAAAACCCTAGAAGGTTGATTTGTCAAATCTTATTGCACATGTGTGCTTCATTTCGTAGGAAGTTGGGGAAAAACTTAAGTAAAACAGCTAACATAAACAAGTTCGCATAAAGTAAAAATAAATGTATAATAATCAATAAATAAAACAAAGTATGAGTTGCAGCTGGCAACCTTAAATCCGTACACCAACTTTTGTATTTGTGTACTCTATTTCATATATGTTTGTGTAACGTACTAACAGAGTTTCTCTTTTTGTAAGTGTTATAACACAGTTACACATGTATAAATTGGAATGCCAAAAAGAAAAAAAAGTTGTATGCTTATTTTCGCCGTAATCCCATTGACAACATCACAGAAGTTGAAATGAAATGTAGAAGAGGAATTTATAGGTTGTAGCATTTTCTGGACAGATCACACAAAACTTATCATCCTATTGGGCCTGAGCTGCTTATGGTAATGCTAACTTTTAGATGGGCCTAAATTGCTATGTAAGCTAACTTTTGTTTATATAACTTTGTGAAATTCAAGAACAGTAGTATCCTAAAGATCTGTAGAAATATACTTGCACCAAATATAATTCTTCTAAAGACCAGTGTTTGTTTTTAGAAACTTTTGAAACCAAAATTCTAGTAAAATATATACATGTATAAAATATTGTTTTTGGTAAATATTATTTTCTGAAAATAATTTGTATAGTCTTTGAAAGAGACAATTATTTAAAATTAAGAAAAAATATAAAATAGGGAAGTTGAATTTTCGTTGTTTCAAAGACAGATCCACGTCCCTTTATGTAATTGCGATTTTGTATCTGCAAATTAATAGTGACGTGCGATATAATGGCGTGGAATATGTATTATTTACAATCAGAAATTGTATTTCTTCCTTTTCGGGATTGCCTTTGAAGCAATACTAAGTGCCAGCATAATTTAATGTAGATGCTGACTCGAAGATTTTAGACTTTTCCTAAAAGATAAAATGAAAAAAAAAGTAACTCAAAATTGTTTTAAGAGCATTAATTGGTATTTATTAGTAGAGGTCGCTATCCAATTAACTGACTTTGTTTTCACTAGCAATGACTTTCTCTTCTCTCTTTTTTTCATACTTAGCAAAACAAAGACTTCATATAAATCCAGCCCCAATCCATTTTTCCTTTTACTAAATCGCAAATCTCTTTAGGAATGCCTGATGGCCATTGGACAAACGCTTTCTTGCATACACTTCACACATAGTCGCACTATACAAATAAAAAAACTTCAAATTCTGGTATTTTTACCAATTATCTTTAGTTGTTGATGTTAATTAATAAGTGACTTATTTACCTCAACTATTGGTGTGATATAGTTTTAAAATAATGTATTGACTTATAGTCTTAAACCAAAGTTTGTAACAGTTGACTCATTAAATACAGTAAAGTTTTCAATAATTGATAAAGACAATTACCAACCAAAGCGTATATAGCGTATCGTATTCCATCAGGAATGTGTTAAATGAAAATTTTATTCTACGAGATATTTTAATTACTTGAGGTCCTACCGAAATTAATGAACACTTCTTTTTATTGTTGAAATAGCACTGTACACAGTCTAATAAAATTAGCAATTTCTTATAATATTTTTTTAAATCCATATATTTATATGGTATATGAACACTTCTTTTATTATTATTTTCCAAAGATTACTTGTTTTGAAAATATATTAATATGGTATATGCGTGTGAATGAACATGCATCGTTACCCTATGTGGAAGTGAAGTTAGGTCCGCGAAACTTTAATGACTCGTTTTTTCTCGTCTTTAATGACTCTTATTCCACTTAAATTCTTCTCATTTATTCGTCGGTTTAATGTACTCTCTCCGTTTTCGAATAGTTATCGTTTTAGAGAAATTTTTTTGTTTTTAATTAGTTGTCGTTTTCAGTTTTCGATACAAAATTTATTACTTTTTTATTTTTTATATTTATTTTTATTATGCAATTTGATTTACTATTGGTTAAATTATGTTTATGTAGATAACTAATGATATTTTTATATTGAAAAACTAACAACATTAATAATTTCTTAATTTGTGTGCATATAGTTAAAACGATAACTATTCGAAAACGGAGGGAGTATTACTAGTAAAAGAATTAAGCCAGATTGTTTAAGCCTTTAAGGCTTCAAGCGTGTGTATTTTTGTATAAGAATATTACTCCAGTGAATATATTTTTTTAATACTTTATAACCGTTTCAAATGGTAGGTGTTGTGGAATATTTTTTCGTTTCAGAAAGTTAGATGTTTTATTTTATTTCCAGTGAATATATATATTTTAAAATTTTTTTAGTTTACCCCTAATTTTATACTAAAAGAAAACTTTTTAATACTAATATATACAAACAATGGTATACTTGTAATTGCAAATAAATTTTAATATATGTATAAAAACTAAGCATCTGCTAATTTCTGGAAACAGAGAGAATAATAAAGTAAAATTATAAGTTTCCAACTAACTTAACTTGAACTAACCCGTGACTTCCTTTGACAAAAAAAAAAAAAAAAACATTGGGTTCTTTAAGATGTGGAATAAATACCAGTACAGTTGAACTAAATGTAATGAAATATGTTGACCAAATAATATACGAGTATAATTTGGTAACCTTACTCACATAGAGTGTCTTTCAAATAATTAAGATAAACTATTGATCAGAAAATCCCATACATAACAATTTACAAAATAACATCCATCTCTTCCTTTCTGCATTCAATTTATTTTCAATGAAACCCCCTGATTTTATCTATCATTTACAGAAATCGAACCTACAAAATAAAGCCATTCAATTCTATCCCCGAGAGTCTTTTTCAAATCGAAATGTTGAGATCAATCTTAGGCTTCTTCATGGCAGGCAAAGGAACAAACGAATGACACCTCGGGCATTTCGGATTGTTCTTCGCCACAAACACGTACGATAAGCACCCTGGACATCCAGCCGCCACCTGAGACGCCGCGGCGGTGGTGGCAGAAGCGGTTCCATCGTAAACACCGTCATCGTCAGGCGATGGGCGTTTCTTTGTGTCTTTCTCCGCCCTCTCCAAAGCCGATTTCACTTTGTCTAGTGTGCAAACACTCGATAGATACGAGAGCGACGTATTTGGAGAATAAGAAGACAGAGGAGGTGGAAGAGGACGAGAGAGAGAAGACGGAACTAGCTTCAGTTCAAGGCTTGTGTCGTCGTCGTCGTCGAAGAGGCTTAACAATGGTTTCGTCGGAGATTTGTCGGAAACCGGCGGGACATTCAAATCTTGAAATCTCGGACCTGTTTGGTTGGTTTGGTCTGCGTGATGATGATGATGATGATGAGACGATGACGAAGAGCTCGTTGAAGTGCGTTGTTGTTGCAGATACACTTTCCCTGACTGTTCAAAAATCGATTAATTATTATGATTACTGAAAATAATCGTTTTTCTTTTTCCGAAAACTCTCTGTTTCGTTATTTCAAAATTTTCTCGAGAAAAAAAAAACAAAGGAGAGAAACAATAGCGACGAACGAACCTTTAGGTCGAGACGTTTTTCCCATCCGTTAGGGACTTGGAGGTCAAGGTCAAGTTCCAGCGACTGTTCGTCTCCTTCTCCTCCTCCTCCTCCCACACAACCGCCGCTTCCGAGGAGATCGCGTGTCATGAGCGCCACCGTCGATCTTGGTCCGGTGGAATCTTTTACCACCGTCCGATCATCCTTGTACATACCAAGTATCCGTACGAGAGAGCTGACGTCAGCAGCCATACCCAAGAAGCAGAGATAAAGAGAAAGAGAAAGAGAAAGAGAAAGAGAGAGAAAGAGGTCAGTTATGGGGTCTGTTAGGCAGAGAGAGAGAGTTATATAGATGGGGCCATTGTAAGAAAACAGAGTCTCAACTCTTAAAGTTAACGAGGACGGTTTTAGTAAATTTATAGCCAATTAATTTCTCTCATTTATTATTAAAAAATATACTATGATTAATTTATCATATTTTTATATTTGCATGGAAATTATTTAATGTTATTAAGTGTACCATTTGTTGTCTACCGTCAAAGATTGAATTCCATGTGTAATTTTGTATTCTACGTACCCCTTACAATATGTGAAAAAAGAACAAATTCACAATTGTAGAATCATATATCAACTTTTTTCCTCACAACATATCTTTTGTCCTACATTTAGAAAGTGGAGATTGAATTTGAACCCATTCATGTCTTAATGGGCAGGCTCTAGGTAGAAACCATCAAACACATAATTCAGTACTTTATGAATCAAACTTTACTTTACTAATTCTTGGTAAAAGAAAACAAATTTTTTTTTTTTTGGCAAGTAAGTATTAGTAAATGAATAAAATAAACAAGAGTAACAAATTAACAGCCAAAAGGCCAAAGGAAAGGTGTGGAGGGAGGAATTCAAGGAGGAAGCAGACACAAAGTGTAATAAATGCGAAGAAAATAAAACGCATTAAATGCATGGAAACTACAAATAGATTCAAGCTTCTATCCATCAAATTACACATTTTACCCCTCCCTACTCCTCTCTCTACTTGTAATCATAATTTTCAAATTGTAAGTTTTACGTTCATATTCAATTAAATACTCAATTAACTACGCATTGATGAATTATGCATTTAATGCACTTCGTCTTCTTTTGTATTGGGCACGTCAAAGATATTTAATGAAGTAGGTATTGATACGAATGTGGTATTTAGAGTAACCCACCATTAGCATTAGTATGTGTTTCTGATATCTATAGCCCTTTAAAAAAAAAAAAAAATTATCCAATCTATAGCCTAATTATATATCTTCACTTTTCGAAATCTTATTATAACCAAAGTCGTACGTATGCGTATATCTCGAAAATATTCATCTAGTCCCCAATATTATCAGCCTCTATTCATTCTGCCTACCTATATTCTTTTTGTTGTTGCATACCTATATATATTCGACTATGGTGAATTGACATTATAAAAACAATTTTTAAAACATATACTGTATATATTATATATATACTAATTCTTTTAAAGTAAAAAAATAGACCACTTAGTTAATTATATTTTAAAGTAAAATTTATTAGTGCTTGGGAGTTAAATTTTATGATTTCAGAGTTTAGAGTTTAAACTTTTAGATTTAGAGTTTATTTTGTAGTATTTAACGTTTAAATTTGCAGTTAAAGATTTAAAATTATTATAATATTGTTATAATTTGATATAAATTTAAATTATTTCATAACATTCATTTGATATAAAATTATAGAAAATTATACTAAATTGTAGTAACCGTTATAAGACGTTAGAAAAAAAAACTTTACAGCATTGTATTGTCTTTTTTAGAATCCAAAAAATATCATTTATGGTTTTTGTCGATAATATATAATATAGACAACGATATTATCAATTAAAATTTATAAATTAAACGTATAACGTTCTATTCTCTTTTTTAAAATCTAAAACTATCATTTACATTTTTTGTCGATAATATATAATATATACAAAATATTAACACAAACTACCAATTTATCAGTCATATTTATTTTTTAATCTTATAACGTTCTACTGTCTTCGTAAAAATCTAAAATATTATATATGTTTTGTCGATATTATATATACAAAACGATATTGACACAAACCACCAATTTACTAGTTTAAATTTATTAATTAAAGTTATAACGTTCTATTTTTTTAAAAAAATATTTATGTTTTTTGTCGAACATAAACAACCAATTTACCAGTCAAAATATATTATTCAATTTTATAACGTTCTATTGTCTTTTTAAATTTTAAAAGAGATTTTCGTTATCATAAGCCACCCATGCATTTAACAATTAATTAAAATTTAGTAATTAAATTTAAAGAAAAAGGGTTAGATTATTGCATGCGCTCCTGACCACGATGACGTGGCTTCGGTCGGAGGTGGCAAACTGGCAACGAACTTTTCTGTTCATCCAACTAATCCAATTATCAAACCTATATTTCTTGGGGATTAGCAAAAATACTCCTTTTCTCATGGGGAAAAAACCCGAAAAAACCGCCATCTATTTTTTTTTTTGCCGTTTAATACGCGTGTTATTAAAGTTGGAATAAAAATGCCTGGTTTAATTTCAATTGCCTTTTAAAATCGTCGTGTTTTAAAACTTGGTATAATCATACACCCACGTTAACAGACGTTAACTCTACTAACGGAATGACTAACCGCGGTTAAATCCTTAACCCAAGGTGTTTAAGTATATATATATATTTTCTGTCCGAAAACTAACTAATATATTGTTGTAGCCAGATGGTTAAATGCGGGAAGACATCCCAACTAAACCTGGGTTCGAATCCCCATTTTGACGTTTTTTTTTTTAGTTTGTTTTTCTCCATCTTCTCCATTAAAGCTGATGATCTCCTCCGGGCTCCGGTCAAGTACTCCTCTCGACGATTCAAACATAAATTTTACGAATTCGAATTTCAAGTTTCCGATTCTCTAAATCAATTGATTCCACTCTTCGTCAAATGAGAAAAGCCCTAATTTTGATCCTCTAAGTCACACATGGGTGCGAACGAGTTTCGTTTCTTCCTCTCCTGCGATATCAATTCGCCCGTCACTTTTCGTGTCGAGAAGCTTGATGGAAACCTCCCAGTCAAGAAATCTTCTGATTCGGGTACTCAAAAGATTTTGATTGAAAGAAACTTGAATTGATTCTCTTAATCCCTAATTTTGGTTTAATGGGAACTTGTTTTGTTGATTGGTGTGTGAAATTTAAGAATTTATGAAATAAATACTAAATCGTTTAGAAAAAAGAACACCCGTACATATATTTTACCTTATGTATCAAATTCGGCCTAACCAATTTGAATTGGATTGATGCAGGTGAAGATTAAGAAAGTTGTAGACAGACAATAAAACTGGTTATCGAGACCTAGACTGAGAGGGATCGATAGTGGAAGACTGAGAGGGATCGATAGTGGAAGAATCAAACTAATTGGGATCTATGGTGTTTTAGATTTCGACTTGCAGAGATGAAGAGAGACGAGAGAAAAGAGACGATAGGAGGAAAGAGAGAAATTTTTTTTTTTTTTTTGTCTTCTTCTTCCTAATTTGGAGCCAATGAAAATTTTGTACCCAAATCAAAATCAGCGATTCGATTTTAGAAATATGAAAAGCGAAATCTAATAGGAGACGAGTCCCCCATGATTATAACAACGAAACTCGTGGGAGAATTTCTGCAATTAGAAGAAATAAAAGCAAAGTCGACGAAGAACAGAGAACCAAAATCTTGATTCTGGTTCTTAAGAAAATTATCGCAAATTAGAAGAAATCAGAGGAAAAAAAATTGAATCGGAATCATGAATCTGCAAAAGCGATCTACTACTCCTAACAACAACAAAAAAAAACCTAAGAAAATTCAAAATGACGAATAGGGGGAGAAAAAACCAGAGCTTTACATTGAATGTGCGTGCATTGTATATTGATGAAGACCAAAAAAAAAAAAAAACGTTTTAAAGTGACGGCGGTGAGATTCGAACTCGAGTGGACAATTCAACACACGTTTAACCACCAGACTAAGATAATATATTTGTATATGTTAGAAAAGAGATTGTATATATATACGTAAACACCCTGGGTTAAGGTTTAACCGCGGTTACTAATTCCGTTATTAGAGTTAACGTCTGTTAACGCGGGTGTATGATTATACCAAGTTTTTAAACACGACGATTTTAAAAGGCAATTGAAATTAAACCAGGCATTTTTATTCCAACTTTAATAACACGCGTATTAAACGGCCAAAAAAAAAATAGATGGCGGTTTTTTCGGGTTTTTTCCCTTTTCTCATGCCCATTTTCAAAAATGCCCTTTTTAGATTGTTCATTTTAAAAAATATCCCTTTTTAAATCTGAAATTTTTATAAAGTTTTATTAGGTTTATAAGGTACTTATGGATTGTAACTACTACTTGAAGACTCGATCCAAGTATTTATAAGGTTTTATAAGGTGTTTTAAAAGGATTTACAAGTTATTTTAAAGAATTTTTAAGGTTTTTCAAAGGTTTTACAAGATATTTTAAAGGTTTTTAAAGGTATTTAAAATGCATTTATAAGGTATTTATAAAGTATTTATAAGATTTTAGATACATAGAAATGTAGTTTGTGTATGTTTTAATAATATTACATACATATTTGGGTAAATCTTATATTTTTAAGAGCATTTTTTATAAAGTTTTAAAAAAGGGTATTTTTGAAAAGTGGCATTGAAAAAGTGGCATTATTAACCATTTCCCATATTTCTTTCATTCATTTCGGACACAATTAGTCACATATCTTTTGTATTCTATGTGAAATATGAATATCAAACTTTACTCTCTTTTTTTAATTTACCGAAAAATGTGCTCAACAAGCAAACGGAATTAATGACGGTCCTTCTTTACATTGGTAGAAGCACATACTCGAAATTTAAGTGCTAATTAATTCGTCTTCGACCAAATGCGTATGGTTTATTTGCTACTAATCTGATTCTGATAAGCAAAATAAAGTCAAATTGCAAAAATGTATATTGGTGGGACAACTGTAGTTAAATGGAGTTTCTAGGAAAATAAGGAAGGTGTGCATTTAAGAGCTTTAAATAATAACGTTGAAAACGTTATGATAAACATAAATTTCTATTTTCTTAATAGTACAAGTAAAAAGGTGAGGAAGTGATGATGCTCACGGGCGATATTCTCACAACACCAGCACAATTAAAGCACTTTAATTTTCAACACACACACATACTGTTTAAAATACATGCACGTACCTTTTATTTCATAAATACTAACAGTATCAAATTTCCTAATAAACGGACAATATAGATGCACACAAGGTTCTAAAAAAAAAAAAAAGAGATGCACACAAGGTTCTTTATTTTTCAAGTTTGACACATTAAAAAATTTAATCTTCATGGTTTTTTTTAAAAAAATCTTCATGAAACGGAAAGAGTTTTAGTTTGGAGTAGTTGGTTGGAACAAATAAAGTAGAGCAATACTTGGATTCACCTCTAGGGTGAATCTTTTTGTTCACCCCTTTTGTTTTAACCAATAAAATTGTCATATCATTTTATATTTAAATAAAAATTAAAAATTAAACA